AAAGCCAGAGTCTCTGTGGCCATCAGACATACTTCTCTTGGAAACAAAATACTACAGATGACGAAACAAACTAACATAACTCCTAGGGCATGGGAAGGGAAGACACAAAATACTCAAGCACATATACCCTAGGAACTTTCCTTCCAAACCCTAGACCTTAGCCATACCAGAAGTGTCTTGATGACCTGTTAAAATGAAGCAGAATGCAAAGTCCAGGACCAGAGAAACACAGATCTAACTGGAGAAGCAATATTTATACCCGTCAATCAACTTTTAAGAATTATCACCATATCTTAGTCAACTTTTGATTCTCCTATGTGTCTGGGAATGCCAAAGGTGTTCAGAAATGTCTCATTAGCTTTAATGCTAAATTAGAAGTAGATTTAAATGTGAAGGAAGCATGATATTAAATATAGCCAGGTTTACCCATTGCCTGTGGACCCTATTTCTGAAAGAGAATTAAGTTGAGGTCCCAGGGAAATGAGTCTTCACATCCACAAGTAAGCCCTTAACCTTTTATCCATGGATGGAATTTGGAGATCTAACTAAAACAGTATCATATGTGTGAGTATGTGTGTGTGTGTGTGTGTGTCTAGATACACAAAAGTTTATGTATTCACACATATATGTATATTGGGATATAAATTGCATCTGTGTGTTTATATTTGTGTATATATAGATAAGTATATATAAAATATATATTTGGTTTTGGGAGAGTTTACAACTTTCATTAGGTTCTCATGGTGAGAGTGTAAATTAGAGCAACCTGTCAGGACAATTAGGCCATACTAATACATTTATATACTTGTCATATATTTTGACCTAAAATGTTTCTCTAAGGAACTCATCGTGCAGTTATATAAACATATACTAAAATAAGTCTGTAAATTATATTAATTACATGATTGCTTATTATAGCAAATGAATGAAAACAATGTAAATGCCCAAAAATAGAATAATGGGAAAACCAAAGTATGATATAACTGTGTCATGTTGTATCATAGGGATACTAAGAAGAGGTAGACCCTCTTTTATGAACCAATATCAAAATATTTCCAACCTATATTGCTTAGTGAAAGAAAAGGTACAAGTCAGAGTGAATGATATACACCATTTTGTCTTTTTGAGAAGTGTATGAATTGGTATGTGTGCACTCAGGTGCTTGTATATGCAGAGAAACACTGGAAACAAGGAAACTGCTAACAGTAATAGCTACTGGGTAGGGAATTGAGAGGGTGGTGGGAAGACTTATTTTTTCACTATGTATCTTTTTTAAGAGTTAGAAGTTTTAGCCTATCTTTTATGTCCTTACAGAATATATTAATTTTTTTTTTTTAAGTAACATGGCTTAAAGGTTTTGTACCACCACATACCTCTAAACTAGGGATTTAATAGCACTGGATCCTCCCAATGCACCAATCCATGAGGTGTTATGGATTATAAGCTATAAGGAGAGTTCTCACTCAGGAAAGACTTTTTTTTTTTTTGACCAATGTAAAAACTCAGAATAGGCTATTTCATCATTAGTGTTTCAAAGAGATTAGAATCAAAGCTTTGGTAAAAGTTTTATGACCATAGAAAAATACCATTACTACATTGAATCTTATTCTAAAATCTGATTGAGGCTTTAAAGTGTCCTATAAGCATAAACTATAATGGATAGTTGTAATGTAATTGAAAGTAATTGTGATTTTATTCAAAACAAGTGGTGTTTACAATGGATTTTCGATGTTTTTCCTCCCATAGAAGCTTTTCAAATAAGATACTGTTACATGTATTTTGGACCTGTAGTTAATTATATTCGTGTAGTATAATGAATCTCTGTGTGTGTTTCTTTCAGAAATAAATGCAATTCCTTTGGGATGCTGAGGCATTGCCTCTGTCAGTCCAATTCTAAGTTAGCTATATGCTCACATAAAATAGAGCAAAATACATTAGAGTGACAGAAACAACTCAAGTTTCTATCATATGTAAAAAAAAAGCACATATATATTTGTGAATATACATATATATACTCAAGCTTATATAGAATAAAAGTAACATAATAGATTAAAATATGTGGTTAATTTTGTTAACTGTAGTAGATATCAGATTCAAAATAATGTGTACTTGTAGACACATGGTCATAATTTTACAGTAATTTGGTGAATTAACTTGTTTGGTCGTGTGTTTTTTTGTTTGCCTAACGTCATTTTGGAAGTAGAGCCACTAAAAATGGTCATAGTAGTTTTCTTTCCATGCAAGGTTGTCTCTTAATTATATATTTTTCTTTGTTTTATGTTGTCAAATGTTTTGCCATATTTTTGTATATGCTTATGACTATAAACACCTTAAAATAAATTCAAATTAGCCTACCAATTGACTGGATTTTATGAAATAATGATTGCCAGTGTGTGTTTGGTATTATGAAAAAATTTGATTGACTATCTTATATTTTACATTTGCACTTTTTTTCATTCATTTGAGAGCTGTTACCAGTGGGTATTTCCATTTATGCTTATGACTTTTGTGTGTCTCAGAATTCAGATGAAAAGGAAAACATTCAGTAAAGTACACATTTTGGTGCCATGGAGTTACAACCTAATGTTTTTGAGAGTTAATTTGCTAAAAATCAAACAACAGTGCTATTGTTTATGTGTAAAAGTCCATTAATATGGACCATTTGACCCAGCCATCCCATTACTGGGTATATACCCAAAGGATTATAAATCATAAAGACACGTGCACATGTATGTTTATTGCAGCACTATTCACAATAGCAAAGACTTGGAATCAACCCAAATGTCCATCAGTGACAGACTGAG